TATTTTGGGGAGTGGCTCAGGAAGTATTTACCTACAGTAGATAATTTTGACATAACTGATAACCATTGGCATACAAAAAACAGCTTCAGGAGTAAAACTATACAGAACATTTCAAGAATGTAATTGAGTCACCATTGATCATGTGTAATCCTTTGTTTTTGCCACATTTATTAATCCGTAAACATTTTCAGAGAACGGTTCTATCCCAACGTTCTTCACGTACCATCTGTTCAAGCACATTCCTTATATTCTTATTAGGCTTTCGCAGATGCCACTTTTTAAGTTGACCAATCTCCCCAGGAGCATCTTCCGGCTCCCGCCGTCACCCTTGCTCCAGGGAGCCCCAGCCATCACAGCCCTACAGCCACGGAGCAGATGTTCCCTTTTCCCAGGCGGCGCTCCCTCTCAAGGTGCATTTCCTCTCACATGCACGTTTTGAGGTTCGAAAAGAGCCCCCACTGCTTTCTCTCTGTATCCACTGCAGGGCTCCCAGCGTCTCTGCTGCTCCTCTGGAGGTGTGACCAGAGTCTCCTGGCTCAGGGCAGAGGGACAGAAACAGACACGAGAGACACAGAACAGGAGAGAACCCTGAAAAACCAGAGGAAGTTCCACGCGCAACTACGTCACATCACACAAGGCTAAACTTTCTAGAGGACAATGGGTCAGGTCTTCAGCAGAGAGTAAGCAAGGTTCTGTGGGCAGAAGAGAACACATTGGTTTTGGAAGGTATTCAAAATACAACTATGACTACCTGTTGCCTTGGAAAGCCTAGGGGGCAGTTCTACTCTGTCCTACAGGGTCACTATGAGTCGGAATCGACTCAGCGGCAGTGGGTGTGGTTTTGTTTGCTCGTCTGGAATCTTTGCAGGAGCAGACTGCTACATCTTTCTCCCGCAGAGTGGCTGGTGGGTTTAAACCACCAACCGTTCGGTTAGCAGCTGAGTGCTAATCCACCAGGGCTCCTTACAGCTGTGACTACCTACCAACAAGCCAAACCAGTTGCCATCAGTCAATTCTGACTCACGTGTTGCACAGTAGAACTGCTCCATAGGGTTTTCAAGGTTGTGACCTTTTAGAAGCAGATCACCAGGCCTTTCTTCTGAGGTGCCTCTGGGTGGGCTCAAACTGCCCACCTTTCTGTTAGTAGTGGAGCACTGAACCATTGTGCCACGCGTGACGCCCCAGACAATACTAAATGGACGACTGAGAAGCTTCCCAGGGAATTAGATCAGTGAAGGCAATTCGTGTGGCTAACTGATCCTGGATCTCCGTTAAATGCCAGGATCTGGTATTTAAATGACTCAGAAACATTCCTTCCAAATTCACAGCTTGCTTGCTGCACACAGCTATAACCTGACCGCGAAAGATGTATGCACTGATGGTGAAACCATGTCAACTTAGGGGAAAAGGGTTAGCAGAACAGGGTTCTAGAATACGGCATGCTATTAACGCACCCATCGGACACCTTGGACAAGTCACCTGACCTATCTGACATCCCAAGGTCCTTACCTCTGAAGTGAGGGGTGGGCCTAGATGACCACTTAGATCGCTCCCAGGCGGAAAGCAGCACGGTGCCTTAGATGCAGTTGTTGTTCCGTTACCAAGTCAGCCCCCGGCTCATTGCGACCCCATGCACAACGGAACAAATGCTACCCAGTCCTGCCTCATCCCCATGATTAATTGCAGAGTGGACCGCTGTGATCCATAGGGTTTTCATTGGCTGACTTTTGAAAGTAGATCACCAGGCCTTTCTTCCTAGTCCATCTCAGACTGGAAGCTCCACTGAAACTTGTTCAGCCTCACAGCAGAACGCAAGCTTCCACTGACAGACGCGTGGTAGCTAGGCATGAGATGCATCAGCCGGGAATCAAACTTGCGTCTCCCACATGGAAGGCGAGGATTCTAGCACCGAACCACCACTGCCCCCTGTACGCTTATGCCAAGAGCTGTTGCATCAGCTGGGCCAGAACAGCAAAACAGAACCCTGTTGAAAGACTGTCCGTGTGTCTTTAGGAGGATGAGAATCAAAACAAAGGTTTTCTAAGTCAGGGACACATCATTCCGGTTTGTATATTCTGCCACGGCAGCCCAAAGATTGGAAAGTGCCAGAGCGGCAGGTGGATGTGCCCCAGATTCTAGACCCAGCTCTGCCAGCCCCCAGCCCCTCGCTGAGCCACAGTAGACAAGAAACCCTGCGTGTCTGACTCTCAGGTTCTTCATCTTTTGAAAAAGGGAATTAGCATGGATCAAGGTACTTTGGGAAAGTGGCTGCACCCTCCCCCTTTGTCTGATTACAAGTCATCAAGGGAAAGAATGTTTACTTACAGCCTGATTTCCCCGTCACTCACTCTTCTTTTTCCCAAACTCACAGACAACTTTAATACGAGCAGGACGAATTCCAACCGACTGAGACATTTTGCAATCAATTGCTGTTCCCATTCATTCTGCATTTCACCTATAGCTAGACAGGCGCATTTACAGAGAAGGAAGTTAATGCCTAAGTAATTCAATCATCGGAGGAAATTCACCAGGCTTCAAGAGTCTCTGGGCTTGCAAGGAGACTACTCATTCTTCCTTTATTGGAGGTTGGAGAGGTTATTGTTTTTTCTAATCTCTTTGTTCTGGCTGGGGTGTGAATTATCCAGATGCTCATCTAACTCCTCGCTTTACAATTGCAGTCGTAGTCATTCAGTGACAGGGACTTCAAAGGCTCTAAAGGAAATGCAGTTTCCCAGGTAAATGCCAAAGCTCTTTCTGCCTCTCCTTCGATCTCCTCCTCCTTCTCCTTCTCTCTGCCCTCACTCTCTCTTTCTCCCCCTCTTCTTCTTTCCCTCTCTTTCAGGACTTTGTTGCTAATTTCCATAGTGTTGGCTCTGATCCATGGTGACCCCACGCACTACAGAACGAAACACTGCCAGGTCCTGTGCCGTCTTCAAGACGGTTGGTATGTTCGAGTCCATTCTTGCAGCCACTGTTTATTCAGAGTGCCTTCCAACTCAGGGGGCTCAGCTTCCAGCACCATATCTGCTGGGACAATATTTTGTTGTAGGCTTTCATTGGCTGATTTTTGGAGGTAGATGGCCAGGCCTTTCTTCCTAGTCTGTCTTAGTCTAGAAGCTCCACTGAGACCTGTCCACCATGGGTGACGCTGGGGGTATTTGCAGTACTGATGGCATAGCTTCCAGCATAGCAATACGCAAGGCACCACAGTTTGACAAACTGACAGAGAGGTGGTGATCGCCACTTTTAAATGCGTCCCAGTATGGTGGCTGTGATTGTTAAGGTCGTGTGTCAGCTCGGCTGGGCCATGATTCTCCGTGGTTTGACAGTTACATTGTAGTTTGTCAGTCGTACAATGGTGTAATCACCTCCATGATGAAATCTGCTAGAATGTGATCACCTCCATGATGGGATCTGCTGTGAGTAGCCAATCAGTTGAAAGGAGTTTTCTTGGGGGTGTGGCCTGCATCCAATGTAGGTGGACTTTCTGGCAAAACTCTCTGGCTTTTGCTCGCTCTGGATCCTGCAGCTGGCTCCTGTGTGTCTGACCTCTGCTTCGTGGGACTTTACCTAGCAGCTTACCTGCCAATCTTGGGATTTGTCGGCCCCTGAAGCTATGTGAGGCAGGAAACGGCTGCAGCCTAACCCTGAGACTTGGGACTTTCCAGCCTGTACCACCACGCGAGGCATTTCCTTGCTGTAAATCTCAGTCTCTCTCTATAAATATATACACAGACGCGTCACTGGTTTTGCTTCTCTAGAGAACCCAGCCTAAGACATGGCTGAGCAGGGCGGCAAGGCCCTGAGAATATCTTATTTTATGGATTGAGCTGCGGCCCCTGTGAACGGGAGCTTGTTTGGGGTAATAGGGTCTTTTTGAAGATGTTATCAGTTAAGGAGGTCATACTGGAGTAGGGAGGGTCCTAATCCTATATGACTGGTGTCTTATCAAAGAGGAGGATGGGTATGGAGACAGTCACCCCAGGGAGGCAGCATGTCGAGGCACAGCCACCAGCAGCAGAGGAACGAGCACCAAGGGTTGCCGGCAGCCACTAGAATCTAGGAGACACAGGTTTGGAGCAGCTCTTCTCTCAAAGCCCCCAGACGGAATACACATGGCCGAGACCCTGATATGGGCTTCTAGCCTCCAGAACTTAAAGGAAATAAACTTCTGTTCTTTAAAGCCACCCACTTTGTGGTGTTGTGTTACAGCAACCCCAGGAAACTGAGGCATCTTCCAACCAGCCCTGGGATTCTACCTTGAAATTGGCCCTTATCCTTTAAGAGAGAAAGACAGAGAAAGGGAGAGAGACAGACTAACTTAAGGATCAGACTGGACTCCAGAGCAGAGCTGCTAAGGAGCATCCATTTGAATAAAGGTGGCCCTGTGGAGCTCCGCTGCTAACCAAAAGGTCAGCAGTTTGAATTCACCAGGTGCTCCTTGGAAACCCTATGGGGCAGTTCTACTCTGGCCTATAGGGTCACTATGAGTTGGTACCGACTCCACGACAGTTGGTTTGGTTTGGTTTTGGTTAGGGCAGAGAGTCTACTCTCAACCATTAAGGTAAAGACCCCGGCATCCTGCATCTTGGCATGCATACAGTGAGCACTTCCTAAGGGCTGGGCGGGAGGACATTTTTATTAGCAGTAATCTCGGCCTTCTTCTGATTATGTACAGATTTCAGACCACATAATCATCCTGGACGTCACAGAATGGAGGGAGGGGGGAGGGAAGAGGCTAAGAGGCTCTAAATCCCTGCCAACACTTGCCTCTTTCCTAGCAGCAAGATTAGAGCAGCCGGCAGCGCGTCGCATGTGTCAGACCCGTGGACGTGGGGGGCTGGCCAGGGCCTGAGGGGCAGCTCAGAGGGCAGTGTCTGGGCTCTGGGCAAGCTGGTCCAGGGGGAGCGCGAACTCATCCACGCTCCCCGGGCTGTGAGCTGGCCGGGGATCCCCACGCCAGCCAGGAAGGAAAAGCGGGGCGCCCACCTCCCCCAGCCATGCTGAAGCAGAGTGAGAGGAGGCCATCTTGGGGCTACAAGCGCCGGAGCGCCTCGGACAGTGACAATGCGCCCCACGCGGGGGGCAGCCACCACCGCGGAAGCATCTGCTCGGTGGGTGCGCGCTCCGGCTCCCAGGCCAGCATCCCCCCGTGGACCGAGGCCAACTACAACTACTACATTGAAGAGGACGAGGATGGCGAGGAGGAGGACCCGTGGAAGGACGAGCCGGCAGAGGAGATCAGCAGCGCCCAAGCGGACGGCCACGCCGACCCTCCGTCCCTGTCGTCCACCCTGAACGTGAACGTGGGCGGCCACAGCTACCGCCTGGACTGTGGCGAGCTGGCCTGCCACCCCAAGACGCGCCTGGGCCGCCTGGCCACCTCGACCAGCCGCAGCCGCCAGCTGGGCCTGTGCGACGACTACGAGGAGCGCACGGACGAGTACTTCTTCGACCGCGACCCGGCCGTCTTCCAGCTCGTCTACAACTTCTACGCGTCGGGCGTGCTGCTGGTGCGCGACGAGCTGTGCCCGCGCAGCTTCCTGGAGGAGCTGGGCTACTGGGGCGTGCGGCTCAAGTACACGGCGCGCTGCTGCCGCATCAGCTTCGAGGAGCGGCGCGACGAGCTGGCCGAGCAGCTCAAGATCCAGCGCGAGCTGCGCGCCCAGGCGCAGGCCGAGGAGGCGGCCGAGCTCTTCAGCCACATGCGCTTCTACGGCGCGCAGCGCCGCCGCCTCTGGAACCTTCTGGAGAAGCCCTTCTCGTCGGTGGCCGCCAAGGCCATCGGGGTGGCCTCCAGCCTCTTCGTGCTGGTCTCCGTGGTGGCGCTGGCGCTCAACACGGTGGAGGAGCTGCAGCCGCGGGGGGCGCCGGGCGCGGGGGGCGGTGGCGACGCGCGGCCGCTGCTGGAGCACGTGGAGCTGCTGTGCATCGCCTTCTTCACGCTGGAGTACCTGCTGCGCCTGGCCTCCACGCCCGACCTGCGGCGCTTCGCGCGCGGCGCCCTCAACCTGGTCGACCTGGTGGCCATCCTGCCGCTCTACCTGCAGCTGCTGCTCGAGGGCGTCACGGGCGAGGACGGCCAGAGTTCGGCGCGGGAGCACGACCTGGAGACGGTGGGCCGCGTGGGCAAGGTGGGCCAGGTGCTGCGCATCATGCGCCTCATGCGCATCTTGCGCATCCTCAAGCTGGCGCGCCACTCCACCGGGCTGCGGGCCTTCGGCTTCACGCTGCGCCAGTGCTACCAGCAGGTGGGCTGCCTGCTGCTCTTCATCGCCATGGGCATCTTCGCCTTCTCGGCGGCCGTCTACTCCGTGGAGCACGACATGCCCGGCACCAACTTCACCAGCATCCCCCGCTCGTGGTGGTGGGCCGCGGTGAGTTCCACGGCCCTCGGGCCTGCGCAGCCAGCTCCCGGGCCCCGCGGAAGCGGGCTCTCCCTGTCCTTGGTTGTCAGCCTCCAGGGCAAAGTCCTGATCTGTCCCCTGCTTTGCAGAACGACCACTACTCACTTCACCCCATCACTGCCTCCCGCTGACAAAACGGGGGCGGTCAGCTGCAGTGGAGTCTGCTGGCTGCAGGGGTGGGTGTTAGAGGGTCGGAAGGAGACACTGTAGTCCAGTAAGTAACGGAATTTGACCTGGTCCTGTAGCTGTTGTTGGGTGCCTCGAGTTGATTCTGACTCACAGCGACCCCAAGAGACAGGGTAGAACTGGCCTGTAGAGTTTTCTTGGCCGTAACCTTTACGGAAGCAGATTGCCAGGTCTTTCTCCTGTGGAGCCGCTGGGTGGGTTGGAACTGCCAACCTTTCAGTTAGCAGCCGAGCACTTAATAGTGGTACCTTCAGCACTCCTTTGACTTAGTCCTAAACCCCAAAACCAAACCCATTGCCAGCAAGTCAATTCTGACTCACAGCAACCCTATAGGACAGGGTAGAACTGCCCCATAGGATACCCAGGGAGCAGCTGGTGGATTCCAACGGTCGACCTTTTGGTTAGCAGCCGCAGCTCTTAACCACTGTGCCACCAGGGCTCTGACTTGGTTCTAGGACTCTCCAAATCCAGATTTAGTCTTAAGCTTCTAGGAAGGTGAATTTTGAAGGAGATTCATTATTCACGTAGATGGCAAGTGGTTGTTTACCACTTACTGAGCACCTGCTGTGTTACGTGGAGTCCCTGGATGGTGCAAACAGTTAACACACTCAGCTGCTAACCAGGTAGGAGGTTCAAGTCCACCACAGGTGCCTTGGAAGAAAGGCCTGGCCATCTATTTTCAAAAAATCCACAATCGAAAACCCTATACAGCACGGTTGTACTCTGGCACATGTGGGGTTGCCAAAAATCAAAGAGTCCATTCAACGGCACCTGGATTTTGGTTCTGTAGTGTGATGGAGGATGTCGAGCACCTGCTTCCAGTCCCACATCTGCCAGTAGTTAACTGTGACCCTGAATAATTAACGGTGACACCTCGCCCCACACTCCCTGGCCCTCGGTCTCCTTCTCTCTAGAAGGGGAGGTTAGACTTGTAGAGCAAAGTCCTTAACGAGATGGACTGACACAGTGGCTGCAACAATGGGCTCCAACATAGCAATGATTGTGAGGATGGCGCAGGACCGGGCAGTGTTTCGTTCTGTTGTATGTAGGGTCGCTATGAGTGGGAGCCGACTCAATGGCACCTAACAGCGACAACAACAGTTCGGTGACTCTCCCTTCCCTGAGAAGCGGATTGCTCATGAGTACACCAGGATTTGCAAGCTTTCTTCAGTGGCAGGATGACGTTAGACTCCTCCTAGAAGAGCTAGCCAAAGGCCACTCCTCTGATCAGGTTCCAAATGGCAAAAGGTCGTCCCCATAGTAGATAAACCGTGTGTACAGATGGTGCTGATGGAGGATCGTGTGTCTAGCAGATGACATTTCCTTGGAGGTGAGTAAAGCTGGACCCACAACAGAATTTTAGAGTCAATTTCCATTCTCTGAAATACCTTAAAAGGCACAGAACCTAGGGGGCTCTTGGATACTGCCGTTCTAAACCATAAAACATTTTTTACTTTTGGTATATTGATCTAAAGATTTTGATAAGCATTCTGTTACTAATACCAGATTTCCATTTTTTTTTTACAAAAAGAATTTCTTGAAGTGAATGCCCAGTGATCCTGTTTGATTTCTTGATCTGTATAGTGTACAACAAAGCTTAAAACTGCCAAAACATCCCCTTTGTATCTTAACCAGTTATTTTACTCGGGATCAGTATTTTCCATAAACGTTTTACCATAAAAATCGATTCACCTTTCAGTTTTTGTCCTTAACGTTGTTTCTTTAACCGATGACTCTGCCTTTGCTGGTGTGAGTTTTCGTTTGTGGCCATTGTCGCTAGCGGGCACCATTGTCACAGGCCAAACTTCGCACATCTCAGCCTTACCGTACACAGTCTGGCCTTTGCCCGTTTTATTCTCTGAGAATTATTTATGTAGTAAAAATCATCATGAATTAGATAAGAGACTGGTAACTTGTCTTTGTTTCTGAATTTAATACGGAAACATTGTAACAGTCCACACACTAGGAGTAATCCCCCTGGGATATTCTAAGGCTTCTCTGTTCCCCAGGACTGATGCAGCATTAATCCCATTCTTCTCTGTACTCCTGGTTAATTGCATGACATGTACTAAGCATCCCTGTTCTCAGCAGAGCAGAGAGAAAAGATCACTATTATAATTATGTGGACATCATTTCTTGTGTCATGTGTAGATGCAAAGTGAAAAGATGCAAAATATTAGGAACAATTCCTTGGGTAATCCCTAGGAATCCATCTTGCTTATCGAGCAAAACATTTTTTAGTACCTCTAATGTGCCAAGTAGAGTTCTCAGCACTGAGAATGCCAAGCCAAAAACACTAGGTGACCCCATGTGTTACAGAGTAGAACTCCCTAGGGTTTTCTAGGCTGTGACCTTTCAGAAACAGATTGCCAGGCCTGTCTTCCTAGGCACCTCTGAGTGGGTTTGAACTGTCAGCCTTTCAGCTAGTACTTAAGTGCTTAACCATTTGCGCCACCCCGGGACTCCTCTTTAGGTTAGTCATTGAGTGCAAAGGCACCCTGGTGGTGCAGTGGTTAAGTGCTCAGCTGCTAACTGAAAGGTCAGCAGTTCGAACTCACCAGCCGCTGCACGGGAGAAAGATGTGGCAGTCTGCTTCTGTAAAGATCATAGCCTAGGAGACCCTATGGGGCAGTTCTACTCTGTCCTCCGGGGTCGCTGTGAGTTGGAATTGACGACACACGGGAACAGTTGAGTGCAAACCATTTGCCCCACCCAGGGACCTCTACTAAGGATACAGAGTGAAAGAAAAAAGGGTGGAGTTCCCTCCTTCAGGGAACTTCCATTCTAGTGGACAAAGACAGATAAATATTTTCAAATATTTGTGTGTCCTTTGTAGGATAATGGAGCCCTGATGGTGCAGTGGTTAAGAGCTTGGTTGTTAAGCAAAAGGTCAGCAGTTCAAATCCACCAGCTGCTCCTTGGAAACCTTATGGGGCAGTTCTGCTCTGTCCTGTAGGGTCGCTATGAGTCAGAATCGAGTCGACAGCAGTGGGGTTTTTTTGTTTTTCGTAGGATAATACGATGGAGAGTGACTTGGGTGGTGGAATCTACCTTTGATGAGATAGAGAAACCCTGCTGGAGAAGGTGACATTTGAGCTGAAATTTGAACGATGAGAAGAAACTCGTGTAAATACACATGGCTAAATAGACACGAGAATCCCAGATGTGGAATCCTACAAGTTACCCTGATTCAGTGGTCTCCAACCATTTTATTGATCGTACACCTCATAAAGTAAAAGGTTTGCCCACACACCCATGATAAATATATATTTAGCTATTTAAAAATTATATCATTTTATCCGTCACTTGTCGCCATGGTAACGCTGCATCACAAATCACGCCAAAACTCAGTGCCTTCAAACACTAAGCATTTATTTAGTTCATGAGTCGGCAGGTCAGCATGTGGGCTGGCCTAAACTAGAAGGTTCTTCGAATCGGGGCTGGGCTCACGCACAGGCCTGAAGGCCAGCTGGCTGACCCTGGGCCACGTGTCCCGCACCTTCCGGCAGGCGTGTGTCCTTGGCCGTGGCACTGGGTACGGGAGAACGCACAAACCCAATCGTGCAAGCGCTTCTGCTCATGTCACTCGCTCAGTCCATTGGCCAAAGCAAGTCATGCAGCCAAACTCAGCGTCAAGGGGCAGGGCAGGTTAGCCCACCTACTGTAGGAAGGCACTGCCAACGTATATGGCAAAGAGCTTAGATATAGGAAGATAGAAAGAATTAGGTCCAGTAATACAGTTAATCTACGGCATTGGCGGTTCAGTGGTAGAATTCTCACCTTCCATGCAGGAGACCAGAGTTCAATTCCTGGCCAAGGCACCTCATGCACAGCCACCACCCATCTGTCAGTGGAGGTTTGTGCATTGCCGTGATGCTGAATAGGTTTCAGCGGAGCTTCCAGACTAAGAGAGATTAGGAAGAAAGGCCTGGTGATCTACTTGTGAAAATCAGCCCATGAAAACCCTGTGGATCACAATGATCTGATCTGCAGCCTATCATGGGGATGGTGCGGGGCCATTCTGTTGTGCGTGGGGTCACCATGAATGGGGGGCTGACTCAATGGCAGGTGACAACTGCAGCAATCTGTTACTGCCTAAATACATCATGGACATCAGAAAACATACACTCGCAAGTTGGAATTTTAAAGACGAGATAAAGAAAAATGTGGTTGCGATTTTTCCCTGTCATACCAGTGCTGTACCCCTTGTGGAATATTCACCCCACAGTAGAGACAGATTCTCTAATCCGTTCTTCTCTGTGTCTTCAGTACTTTGAAATAACTTCCAATCTGATTTGCTTTTAACAGCCATCCCTCTCTCTACTGCCAAGAATCTTGCAACCTTCCTCTGTAATTCAACTCGGGGGTTTGAAGAGAAATACAGTAATTTTCATTATTGTGAGTTCTCCTACAGCCGCAAAACAAATCCCTTATGGGCAGTTATGTCTGCGAATGTTCATGCAGAGGGATACAAGACAGACCCAGCTTACTCATCTGTCAGACAGAGGTTATTTGGGAGCATAAATGTAATAGGAACCGTCTGTAAAATGCCGGCCATAATAAGTAGAAGCTACCATATCTGAGTAGTTGCTAGTCTTCGTCACATAGAAGCAATAACTTGCTTCCAGAATCATCATGAGGAAAATAAAACGTAAGTGATTCCTTCTCTACTGGGGAGAAGAGAGAGACTGATGCATACAGAAGGGCCAGCTGTTTGGTCTTGGGAAGGCTTCAGAGTGTCCGGATAAACAGGCCCCCGCCTGGAGCGCTTCCAGCCACCTCGG